CAAATTTTTGCCATCGATAGGATTTGAACACCCAACCTACCACTTGGGAGGTTGACAACCTGACCACTTCACTAGGTTGCCACACCCCTTCTTATGTTTTGACATATTTTTATTTAATAAATATTTAATATAAAAGTTGTTAAATTCAATAGATTTAACTAATATTATTAAAATATATTATGAAAGCTTCAAATTTCTTAGTAGTCTTGATCATATTTTATTGCAGAAATAAGTTATATAAGTTTTTTAAAAAAGTATTATAAAATATATAAAAAAGCTTTTTATTGTGTAATTATCTTTAAAATTAATGAAATGATTCTCTTGTTATCATAGCATTAGCTTATTAAATTGCATATATTTTTACAACCAACTATGAAGTTTAAGGATATTTTATAATACTCAACCTATAAACTAATCAGATCAAAAATTTCACATATACATGTACATTAAAATGCTGTATAACTATATACTACATACTATGCTATACAAAATACTTCATTCATAGTACTACATGTTAAATTTTTGGTTATCACTTTTAGAACTCTTGAAAAAGAGTATAAATTAAATAAATATATTAATATAGAATAAATAAATATGAAACAATTTGATTAGTTAATGTAAATCAAAAGATTTATAAGAGTTATTTAGTATTTTAATTGGTTGCCTAATTTTTGAAAGAATTTTCAGCTTGAAAAATGATGTTAACTAAAAAATCAACTTTAAAAAGTATTATGCTTTTGTTATTTGTGCTATATTATTGTTACTAGTTTTTTATATAGCTAATTGTATTTATTCACCTCTTTATAATAAAAAAATAAAGGTTTCTGTTTTATACAAATTGCAATAAAAATTTTATTCTTTTATAAAAAATCACATTTATTATATATAATAAGGCACAAAAAAAAGAAACATTAAAACATTATAATAATTTAAAAGTCAGACAAAAAAATGTTATAATTACTACTTAAATATATAAGAGAGTGTCAATAAAAACCAAGCAAATTTTTTCTAAGTAAATTTTTTTTTAAAGTTTAAAGTAAAATATCTCAACAATTATTAAACCAAACTCAATAAAAATTTCTTATTTTAATTTTATATAGTTATATAATTAAAAAAAAAATTCACCAAGATTAGTTTAATAGTTAATAAAATATTTTAATTTAAATTTTTAAAAAATCTTACTAAAAACAATTTGCTTGGTTTCTACTGACATCCCATCATATTAGAGCCTGATTGTCATCCAAAAAAAAATTTTCGGTTAAAGCAAAGGTTCAAATATTGATAGTAAATTAGTTACAAAGCGAATATTGATAAACAAGTCACTCTTAATAATGGCTCATATTTGCAAACCAAATTCAGATTCTAATCAAAATTCTTTATAAAACTTAGTCTAGTTTATTTTTAATTAATGATAGAAAATGCTAATTAATATTTATATAGTTTTTTTGACCAAATAATTAAGGTTTTAATTCCTAATAAAAGCTCCTTCTATAAAAAAAATAAAAGCAAAAAAAATAGTTATTAGTTTTTGCTACATATTAGTAAATTTAAAAATATAGATGTTAATAGTTTTAAACTAAAGTTGGCTTATATCTTTTAGCATTTGAAATCTTATCTATAGCTATTAATACATCGCATAATCTAGGCATTTCAGTATATAGTAAAGCAAATAATAATTATAAAAAAACTGCTTAAGATCATCATCAAAATATTTGAATTTTTTTTCAAATTATGTATTTTTTTTAATTTTTTTTTAATTTTTTTTTAATTTTTTTTTAATTTTTTTTTAATTTTTTTTTAATTTTTTTTTAATTTTTTTTAAATTTTTTTTTAATATTAAATAAATTAATTTATTTTTTAAAAATTTTTATTTAAATTAATATTTTATACTTAATTCAATGAACAGTATTGACTTGTAACATCAATTCAGCTTATTAAGACTCAAATGATTGTGTAGTAAAAATCAAGTAGTTCTACTAACTATTCGCTAATGGAATCAAATATTGCTATTCTTGTTACTTATAGTAACTGTGATAAGAAATGTTTCTGCAAATCCTTCATGTGAATTTGAAGATATCACCAATCCTACTTGGTCATCATCAGCTTTAACGTTATCACCCTTAAAGAGATATCATTTAATCAGTATCATCTCCCATAGGAGGATTTTTGTATGATTTGCTGTTTAAATCAATTTAATTTTACATTATTTATGCAGTTTAAAGTACTTCTTAAAAACAATAAAACTACGCAAAATAAACAAAAAAGAAGCATATAAAAACGGTTTATTAGGTTTGTAGGATCAACCATTAAAAATCATTCCTGGTTTTAGAAAAGTTGGCATAATAGCGATTTTCCTAGAGATAAATAGAATTACCATGCTAACTTCCCTAAAACAAAAAGGGATTTTGATTATTCTTAATAGTAGAGTCCTACAACCCTAATAAAACTTTCTATATACTTCTTTTTTTTGTTTGTTATTCGTAATTTTTTTTTTAAAAAAAGTACTTTAAACTGTATAAATAATGTAAAATTAAATTGATTTAAACAGCCAATCAGGAAAGTCTTCCCATGGGTATCTTCCTTCTTAAGATTATCACCCTTAACATCACCTGTTATTGCATCACCCATAATTATCACCTATTTAACGTATTAGTTTCGTAGTGTCCTATTGTCCAATTAGTCCTTATCTTCACTTACACAGTTGGAGATAAATTAGCATATTATCTATATAATTTCACTAACTCTCCCAATCAACGGTTACAGTATTACTCTAGTAAACCAGTTATTCTAATTCGACTTTAAATAATCATTTTTAACATTAAATACGTTTTATGATATTGTAAGACTCAGATAAATAGGTTTTAGAATTAAAATTCTGGTTTATTTGTTGTATATGATAAAGAGTGCTGAAGGTAACATTAATTTAACCTTTCATTTTAGCCAGTTAGAAGTATTGCTGATTAACCGATAAAACAAGATTTTTCTAGTGTTTTGCATTTCTCTGCTTAACAAGAGCGAGGAAAGGGGATAAACTATAGTCGACTCTCAGTATAGAGTGGGTTCGTTATATAGATTATTTTTTTCTATACCGAACAGCTCGGTAACCAATAAAATAATGTGTAGGACCACTAAACCTTCGGAAATTCTCGAAAAATTTTGTTCCGGTCGGTAATTAGTTTGTTATATCGAAATATGTGCACTTAGTCCTGAGCTGGTAAAGAAGAGTTCGGATGCGGTATATAAAAGTTTACTATATAAGTTCGGTATAGCCAGCCTAAATTCTTATAAAAAAAATCGGTTCTGAAATATCCGGTTCGTTATAACCCGCGTTCGGTAGAAGCAGGTTCGGTATATCCAGAGTCGACTGTATATATAATAGATTCTTTTGAATAGAGATCACTCATTAAATTATATTGATACGGGCTATTAATTCGGGAACGGCACCACCAAGAAAAGGAAGGAATGCGGATTGTCGCTTCGGAAACGTTGACGTCGCGTAACGTCACTCAAAGGCAGGTGAGGCGGTTTCGATTTGGCACTGGTCAAAGGCGGCCTTTGAGAACGTTACAAGGGATTCGGATTTTAATGTAAGACGTGTTAAAGGAGCGTATGGGTTTATTTATTATTTATTTAACAATTTATAACAATTAGAACTTTAATTGAATTTTGTTTTATTTATTTAGGACGGGTTTTATAATTATTCAAGGTAATACGATACAAGATGGTACAAGACAATATGATACGATACAAGACGATTGATACAAGACGATTGATACAAGACGAGAGGGGGAATTCGAACCATATCTATAGAGAATTTGCAAGGGAAAAAAAAAGGGAATTTCGAACACGGCTTGGGCACCCTTTTTCTCATTGTCATAGGCCGTTTTTCCCTTTTTTACTACCACTTTTTCCTTTTTACTATAACCCATCCGTCGTTACTTTAGCGTTTTTCATTGAACTTTGATTCCTCCCATAACGGCATACAACCCAACATATGACGACGCATTGACACGGCCACAGACTTTACCTGTCAAGGTAATATTACCCTCACAGATGTATTCCATATCGGGCGGGTGGCTATTCTTCGATGGGATAGGCGCTGTCACTTAATTAAGAACCTGATTTGTCCTGGGTCGCAGGCATCGTGGTATGACGGTTTTTCATGGTGCATTTCGTGGGTCGTTACGCAACGTTTCCTCATGGTCCTGGGGTCGGATTTACCCATAATAATATATTATAGATTCTTTTGATAGAGATCACTCATTAAATTATTAATCACACTTGCAGGGACATTTTATTTTTTTTAATTATTGGATAAAGAATGATTTTATTTTAGATGAACTATATAGTTTATAAATTTAATACAATAAATCAATAAACAGTGGTAAGAAAATAAAGCTAAATCCACAACCAAACGATCCACCTTACACAAAATATTTTTAATATTTGTTAAATAATGAACTATATTTAAAAAACATAAAGCTATTAGGGAAAATTTTGTTTGCAATTTCTTCCCTCGTCATCGCAGCAAGAGCAAATGCATTCTTGAGTGTTCTGATTAAAAATACACACTTCCGTACCTGTAAAAAATAATTTAAATAAATTGAAAATAAATTAAATAAATTTATAGTTTTTAATACGGTGAAACTTACCATCACAAAAAGGTGCAGGAGTAGGACAATCCCTTTTTGGATCCGGGACTGGAGCTGGAGCTGGATGCCCGTTTATATACGGTATTAAGCCACCAAAGAACACAACAACAAGAAACAAAATCAATGTTTTAGGATTCATGATATTTTTTTACAGGTAAATTTATAACAAAAATTAGATTTTAAGATATGTATTCGAAAATATTTTGGATGGTATAAATTTTTTGTGAGAAATTTTTTATCTTATTTATAAAGTTTTTATGAACTGCTTTTAACTAAAACATATAAGTTAAAGAGCAGAAAAAATAGTTTCTATCAGATATTTAGAGCTAAAATTTCATTGTGGTTAACTAAAAATCTCAATAGGTTCATAGATTTCATAATTGATTAATTTGTCATACTTGAAATTGGCATCTGATTAAATTCGCCTGAAGTAGCATCTGACCGATATTAATCCCAGAAATTAGATGTGCAACTTTAGGCAAACGCTAACATTATGATTTGATGATAATTAACGTGTTAGAATTTAGATTGTATACACTACTAATATTGGAATTACCGTGTTCTCCTACAGCATTTCGAGCTAGGAATGTTTTATAATAGTTAAAATCATCGTAACCAATGTATTTTTTGTTATTATTGATCCATCGGAAAATGTTACCGCAATTGATTTAGTTCGATACTAAACTGGTATTCTTAATGGTGTACTTTTATTATTGATTCGGCAGCAAATGTCGCAATCGATTTAGCACTAAATTAAACTATTTTTAATTAGACCCTAAATTTCCATACTTCAAAATTAAAAATCGAATATCGAAAGAATAAAGGAGCAACAACAATAAAATTAATCAATAAAATAAAAGCTGTGAAAGATTTCTCGATTTCAGCAAATTAGGAGACAAGAATGGGTACAAAATGAATTTTTTTTAAAAAAAACCCATTTTTCTTTTAAAAATCACATTATTCTCAAGATTTTGCTTAAGAACCCAGGATGCCGCATTGTAAAAAATCTCAATTAATATTTCCGAATAATCCTATTTGAGAACTAAATTACTTATTTGAGAGAAATTTAATATAACAATAAATTAAGTGATCGAATTTTATGTAGAACTGATTCAATGATTTCCTTTTAGAGGTTAATATTATTCGCGAAAATAGAAGTTTTTGAGGTCCAAGCATTTAACGTATATTCGGAATTGAGACAAGATTGGTAAGCTGAAAAAGTTAAAGTAGTCAAAAATGAAATTCTATTAGTGGTATTTACCCCTGTTTCACCGATGATTATTTTCCAATTTTATCTCTAACCTAAACCAGGGGTTTACTATAGTCACTATTAAACGCTTAGAAGTCCTGTTCCTGATTGAACGAAATTGATTACAAATTCTTATTTGAAGAAAATCAAATCTGGCCAAAACATATTATCCTGGCATTAATGTAAAATAAAAACATAAATATTATATTACTGAAATTTTGCGAGGAATTTCTTTTTATTAAGACGCAAAGGTGATTTCATAAGTAAATTACAGGTTACTGACAATTTTTGAAAAATTTCGATTATTTTTATGTTATACCGAATCTAGTAATTTAATTGGCAGCAAAAAAAAATTGCATAATCTATTTTCGTTCAATCAGAGATAGTATTTTAATATATCCGATCAGAAGTGGTGTTGAAGTTAGGACACCTCTAAATCAAGACAATCTTGAATATTTTTGAGATGGTCGTCGGAGAAATATGATCCATTAGATTAGTAAATTCCTTTGCATTATGCCTGGATTTCTTTTAATGTACATTATGTATTGTGACAATGTTGTACATAAGTACATACGTGCATTTCGGATGTCTGAGCCTTTTAAATCGTCTGTAGTTGCACACGGATTTAGGCTATTCAATACATGCCATATCGATATGACTATTGTTATCCGGCTAAGTCACATGACACGTGACACGGCTAACCAAATAAGGGTAACCCGGCTAGAAAAGTTAGAATCGTCAGAAAGGACCGAAACTTAGGAAAAGTCCTTTCTGATCGAAGGAGCGAAGTAAGTGAGGTAGTCAGTAAGGGAGGGAACACTGATGTAGTCTTAATCATTATAGTACACGCAGTCATAGACAATGTTAATATAGAACGAGAAATGTATATAGTAAATTGTTCTTATAAATAAAGGTCGTAAAGGCCCTAGGGGGAAGACAGAGAGACCCGAACTTCGCTTTATTAAAAATAATAACTGGCCCTTACATAATGATAAATACATAAACGTCTCCTTTACTACATTAACTAATCGCCAATTCCCTGACCATAAAACCCCGATTCTTGCAATTATCTGTTCTTACCCGTAGTATTGTTACATTCCCGTCCGGCTGTTGTATCCTAAAGTACCAGGATCAGCCGTGGTTATACCGTCCAATTATCCCGAAGGATTGAGG